TTTTTGAGATAAGGTTTCTCTCTGTAGTTCTGGTGCCTGTCCTGAATCTCTGTAGCCCAGGCTGGCCTCGAACTCACAGCTCTGCCTCCCGAGTGGGATTAAAGGCGTGCACCATTGCCGCCTGGCGAGTGCTGTTCCTGAAGAGGACCCAGTTTGATTCCTGGCATCCACACTGGGTGGCTCACAACCACCTGTAGGTCCAGGGATCTGATGCATCTGGCCTCCAGGGATGAGCACACCCCTCCCCCCATTATTAAAAATAACACACATACACAATTAAAAAAATTAGTAAAATATAAATTAAAAAATGTAAAGAACTATTTTCATGATTCAGGCATAGTAGCACATGCCTATAATCTCAAGAATAGGGAAGCAGAGGAAAGAGAATCACAAATTTAAGTCCAGCGTGGGCTCCATAGTGCACTCCAGGCTAGCCTGAGCTACTCAGGGAAACCCTGTCTAAAAATAAAGGAACTTTCTTCTTTACCTTAAGGGTAAACAGAAGCAGAGGAAAGTACTTAAGCGGCCAAGGGGCTGGCTCAGTTAGCAGAAGATCAGCCAGGTCCTGCTCAGGCCTGAGAACATAATTGTGGGCACAACTCTGAGGCTTTGTCAGCCAGGAGCTCCTGTCTGGAAGGATCATAGACAAGCATTCGTGGTACAGAGTACTCCCTGAAATATAAGAGAGGTTTGTGGGATGTTACAGGGACCCCCAGAAGGGCTCCCTAACCAGCTGAATGGACACACTGAGTCCTGGGAGAGGAGATAGAAAAGGTCTCAGATGGAAGTAATTCCTAGGAGAACTGAATGCAAAAGCCTTATGCCAGGAATACATGAGGGGTGACCCTCCTTGGGAAAGGGATATTACAAAGAGAAGCGCAGAAAGGAGAGGGAAAAGAACCATGGTTTGATGCCCAGCATGGTGGCACGCAATTCCAACATCAGGGAAGTTGATATAGCATGGTTTGAGGCCAGCTTGGGATACCTAGTGAGACTCTGTTGTAGTGGGTAGCTGTTCCAGCTTTGACCTGGAAGTACTACCCCCAGTGAGGCTTCCGGTAACTGTCATGCCTACCTATGGCCTGCCTCTGAGGCGAGGCCGAGACAGGAGCCCTTAAGACCTGAGATTTGGATGTACCGGCCCTTTTTTGGTTCCTGGTGAGCCTGGGTGTTGGATGGTACACCCAGCAGAGTTCTCCAGAGAACGCCGCTGGACTGTACTTCACCTCTCCCGGACCCTGTAACCTATCCCTTTATTTGTAAGTTACCCCACAAAATAAACCTCCCTTTTAACTACGTGGAGTGGCCTTAATACTTCCACCAATACTCTGTCTCAAAAAATGTGTATATATTATCTTAGTCATTGTTCTATTGCTATATAGAGACACCATGAACAAGGCAACTCTCATAAAAGAAAACATTTGATTGGGAGCTTGCTTAGAGTTTCAAAGGTTAGTCCATTATCATCATGGTGGGGAGCATGGTGGCATGCATGGTACTAGAGCGGTAGCTGAGAACTTTACATTATGATACATGGACAGTAGGCACAGAGAGCCTGGGCCTGGTGTAGGCTTTTGAAACCTCAAACTCTACCCCTAGTGACACACTTCCTCCAACAAGGCCACACCCCTTAACCCTTCTAATCCTTTCAAACAGTTCCACTCCCTGGTGACTAAGCATTCAAATCTATGAGCCGATGGCTATTCTCATTCAAACTTTTTTGGTTGTTATATTTTGCTGTCTTTTGAGACAAGGTCTCACTAGCTAGCCTGGAACTTACTATTTAGACCAAGGTGGCCTCAAACTCACAGAGGTCTACCTGTTTGCCTGTGCCTCCTGAGTGCTGGGACTAAAGGCATGCATCCCCATGCTCAGCTGGAACTGTATTTTTAAGGTTTTGCTTTTTAAGACACATTTGATTTATATGTATGAGTATTTTGCTTGCATGTATGTGTATGTACCATGTGAGTATCTATTGCTTGCAGAGGTCAGAAGAGGGCGCCAGATTCCCTGGAATTGGAGTTATAGACACTTGTGAGCTGCCACGTTGGTGCTGGGAACCAACATGAGTCCTGTGCAAAGCTGGACTGCTGTGCCATCTCTCCAGGCCCCAAGAACTGTATTGTAAATGGACCAGCAGTCAGGTGTGAACCGAAGGCCAAGAGGAAGTCCCAGGTCCTTAGGATACTGGCTAGAGGTGGAGTGTGTGGTCAGGAGGGTCTCTTATTTGTTGGGCTGGGCTACATAACTTGATCTCCTGAGAGAGACTTCCTGGTGTTTCATTTGTCTGTTTTCTTACTGGTGATCCAGTCTCATACAGTAGCCCGGGCTGATCTCGAACTCACATCAGTACTTCTGCCTCCACCTCTCAGTGTGGATGACAGGCGCGAAATCTGTTCTTTACAAGGCTGGAAGTGTTTTACTGAGATCTTCTCACTAGGTAGCCCAGCTATACTTAAACACCAGATCCTCCTGCCTCAGCTTCTACAAGTGTTACACACTATACCCACTTGTGTTTCCCTAATACCATAATGAATGTGCTTCTCTGAGCACAGAGCACAGCTCCCACTTAATGGAATTATGGTGCTGGGTCCTGGCAACACCATTCCTTCCTCTTGTGCCTAATTCCCGAGTGAGCAGGTTAAGGGGACAAGAACGGGAGATGAGGAGACAGCCTTGGGTAAAGTGCTTGCTTTGCAGCTACAACACCATGTTTTTTAGAGGGCAGGCATGAGGTAGCCTGGTGGTGCACAACTTAGGTTCCGGCACTCAGGAGGTAGAGGCAGGTGGAGCTCTGTAATTTGGAGGCCAGCCTGGTCTAAAGAGTGAATTCCAGCACAGGCAGGGCTTTTGTTTGTTTGTTTGTTTTTTGCTTTTCGAGACAAGGTTTCTCTGTGTAGCTTTGTGCCTTTCCTGGATCTTGCTCTGTAGACGAGGCTGGCCTGGAACTCACAGAGATCTGCCTGGCTCTGCCTCCTGAGTGCGGGGATTAAAGGTGTGCCCCACCACCGCCCGGCACAGGCAGGGCTTTATAGTGAGAACGTGTGTGTGTGTGTGTGTGTGTGTGTGTGTGTGTGTGTGTGTG